GAAGGATGTCAAGTGGTTTGTGTGTGTGTGCGAGAAAGAGAGAGAGAGAGAATAAATAAGCTTAAAGTGAAAACTTCTTAGGCCATTCAGAGAACTGGGTCACAGGTTAACCTCCACCATAAAAAGGAAGCAGAAAAAAACACACATCTGTCCTTCTTGTCTTTTTTTTTTTTTAAGATTTATTGTGTATACAGTGTTCTGTCTGCACGTATGCCTGCACGCCAGAAAAGGGTGCCAGATCTTACTATGGTTGTGAGCCACGATGTGGTTGCTAGGAATTGAACTCAGGACCTCTGGAAGAGTTAGCAGCACTCTTAATTGCAGAGGCATCTCTTCAGTCCTGTCCTCCTTGTCATAAGTGGCTCTTCACACCTTTGTGACTTATTTTCAGGCACCTGACAGCTCTCACTGAAACAGTGCATGCAGGGGACTGGAGTGGGGGAACACCACAGGGCCATGACCCCCCTCACATGCACGCACACACATGCAAGCACATGCACTCACTCGTGCATGGACACACACCACACACACATACTCATGCGCGCGCGCACACGCACAGCACAGCATAGACCCTGTTGTGCTTTGAGCAAAGAAAGATAAGAGAGCCACTGAAATACACTTAAAGAAGCTTCTCACTTTGTTCTCACATAGGAGCCCGACCTCAGGGACAATTATTTTGCGAATCCCTTCTTTGGCCCACTGCTGCAAAGGCAACTGGATGTCTTGGCCTCCCTGATCTTCCTGCCTCAGGAAGGACAGGGGTAGAAGTGGGGGAGGGGAGAGCTGGGAAATTTCCAGCCCAGAGGCTTTCACCTACTGGAAGTGGATAGGGTTGAGGGGTCACAAAAGAAGTTTAATGAAAGATTAGAAGGCTGCTCCTCTCCAGCAGGGGCCTTAGGCGGGGCTCCTGAGAGCCTGGATGACCACTGGGAAAGCAGGAAGACTCAGACACTATAAGCATTTTTTTTAAAGGAAGCCCAAACACAAGGGAGAAAACAAAACATGGAACCTGGGAACTGAAGCTTCCAGCACAGCTTCAACAAACATTAGACACAGGCTAATATAAGGTAGCATTCCATACAAGGTAACCTATATGAAAGGTTTGCTGGCTTTAGCTCCTATTCCCAACCCAGCAGGTCCAGTTTCCAATATAAAACAATGCCAGAAGGGAAGCAGATACAGCGCACACATCAAAACATCAGACCCATAGTTTGTTTGTTTTGTGTTTTTTTTTGGGGGGGGGGGGGTTTTGAGACAGGGTTTCTCTGTAGTTCTGGCTGCCCTGGAACTCACTCTATAGACCAGGCTGGCCTTGGACTCACAAGGATCCACCTGCCTCTGCCTCCCCCGTGCTGGGATTAAAGGCGTGACCCACCACTGTCCGGCTTGTGATGAAGATTTTGGAGTTGACTGAGAAGTAACTGTAACTAGCACACTAAAGCCTTCATTAACAAAACATATGAAAGGTTAGAATGTCAGCGAGATCTGAGGCTAGTACCCAACAGAAAGTTAAACATTGTAAATGGCCACTATGTTCTTTAGTGGGCCCATCAGTAGACTGGGCAGAGCCAGGGGGGAATCTGAGAGTTTGGAGAGGTGTCAGTATGACCTCTGCCCTCCCTCATGAGGCTTCTATTTAGTAGGTAATAAAATGCCTGTCAGCCCGTAAGCAGTTCTGAGAAGATAGCTGGGTAGAGTTTAGGGACCAGGGTTTGTAGTTTTCCATGTAGAGGTGGGGAAGATGACTTTTGTGACCAGCATTTGAACAGGGGGACCAGTGGGTTGGGCTCTGTTTCCATCTCTACTGGGCAGAGGTGTTCTGTAGATGATGACATACACTTATGTCCACACTACCATTTTTTACTAAACAAAGTGAAGCACCCTATCCATTCCTGCTCAAATATCTGTATCTTTCCTCTTTTTTGAATATTAGGCTTGCTGTTGTATAGATTCAACCTATGTTATTGAGATAGGGTTTTGCTGTGTGGCCCAGGCTAACCTCAAATTCATGGTCCTCCTGACTTAGCAAGGCTTGCATTATGTACCCAGCCATTAAGCCTTTCTAATCAAACTCGGTCTGATTAGATAACTCAGTGTTATCAAATCCCATTCAGTTGGCTGCTGTGCTCAACGCCGTTGCACACGTATCTTTATTTTCTGAGATTACTACAGGTTCAGTACAATCTCTGCTCTTCTTCTTCAAGGAGCTCTGACAGGCACAGGGGTGCATGCCCCACCTGACCTACAAAGGCTGGTGCACTGTGGAATAACCTTTTCTGTACACTGTGAAGATGTGTCACTTGGACAAGTTTAACAAAAGCTGAACAGCCAATAAGTAAGCAGGATTTCCAGGCACAGAGGATTCTGGGAAGGAGGGGGGAGTTGAAGGGAGAAGTGTAGAAAGCATGACTTGTAGGAGACGAGGTAACAAGCCATGAGCCATGTGGCAGCATGTAAATTAATAGAAACGGATTATGTTATGAGAGCTACTTAGAAACAAGCTCTTATATCGGCTGAGCTTTCATGTTTAGTAATAAACCTTCATGTCATTTTTTGTGAGCTGGAGCCCCCCCATACATCTACACTGGTGCAGGATGACTATCGGGGGGCTTCCAGGAAGATAGACCCCAGAAGCCAAATCTTTGCAAGGTCCCACATTGCATCAGATGTATCCAACTTAATTGTAGCCATTAAGTCTTTTTCCCTATTTCATGTTTTTCATACTATGTCTATTTGAGCTAAATTTTTTTTTAATTTTACATTATGTATATTAATGTTTCGCCGATGTGAACGCATGTGTGTGCCTGTTGGATCCCCCGGAACTGGGGCTATGGGTGGTTGTGGGCTACCATGTGGCTGCTGGGAATTGTGCTCCTCACTGCTGGCCATCTCTCCGTCCCCTTTACCTCTGACTAGAGAAGTAAATGTTACTACACCATGGAATGCTGCTGAGCAATAAAAAGACTGAACCACTGCTTCATGCCACATGAACAACCTCAGAGGTGGTCCACCGAGCAGAAGAAATGAAACACAAGATTCTATTTCTACAGCATTTCTAGGAGGGGAAGGAGATGGAGCTGTAACTCGGGAAAAGGGCCTGTGCTTAGCATGAGCAAGGCCCTACTTCAGCCTTCAGCACACACAGATAAAACTATGTAAAGTCGCTTGGCGCTAACGACAGAACCAGGGAGGAAACTGTGGCTCGGAAATCAAACAACTCTAAACTGAAAACCACTAGGTTGTCATCAAAAGCAGATTATGTTGTCAGATAAATTATATCATCATAAGTTTTGAAAATTAATTTTCTTCCCCAACTTTTTCTTTTCTTTTCCTTTTCTTTTTTTTTTTTCTTCAATTTATTTATCTGTAGACCAGACTGGCTTCAAACTCAGAGATCCGCCTGCCCCTGCCTCCTGAATTCTGGGATTAAAGGCATATGCCACTACTGTCCAGCATCCCCCACTTTATTATTGTATCCCCTTAATTGGTTATATTAAATCAAATACTTGAATGCTGGCTTCATTTAAACATAGCATGCAGCTGTTAATGCTACTTGGTGCTGGGATAACTCCAGAGCTTCGTGGTCCTCGGTGAGCATCCACCACTGAGCAGTATCTACACCTGTTATAGCTAACAGCTGTGTTGTCTGAGGTTTCTGTCCTGCCCAGTCCTGCAGTCATTCAGTCCCAAAGAAGCACACAGAGGTCTACATTAACTATAAACCGATTGGCCCATTAGCTCAGGCTTCTTATTAACTAATCCTTATAACTTATATTAGCCCATAATTCTTGTCTATGTTGGTCACATGGCTTGGTACCTTTCTCGGCAAGGCAATCACATCTTGCTTTCTCTGCAGCTGGGTCACAATCGCAGACTGAGCTTTCCTCTTCCCAGAATTCTCCTGTTCTCATTGCCCTGCTTCTATTTCCTGCCTGGCTACTGGCCAATCAGCATTTTATTAAAAATAATACAAGTGACAGGATAAATGACCATTATCCCACAGCATAGCTGACTGCCTATGTAGATCTCAGATTCTGCCAGAACATTACAGAGTATTGCTCGTCTGTTCATTCCAATTGCTTCTCATTCAGGTGCTTCATTTTTAGTCTTTTTTCACCTTTAACACTGAAGAGATCAAGCTGGGTGTTGGTGGTGTCATGCCTTTAATCCCAGTGCTTGGGAAGCAGAGGCAGGTGGATTTTGAGTTTGAGGCCAGTCTTGTCTACAGAATGAAGTTCCAGGACATCCAGGGCTAAACAGAGAAATCCTGTCCCAAAAACAAAACAAAAACAAAAATACAACTAACCAACCAGATAAAGAGATCAGCAGACAGCTGCTGTGCTGTGAGACCAGAGTGTGAAGCTGTATGTTCTGAGACCAGAGTGTGAAGCCGTATGTTCTGAGACCAGAGTGTGAAGCTGTATGTTCTGTGAGACCAGAGTGTGAAGCTGTATGTTCTGAGACCAGATTGTGAAGTTGTATGTTCTGAGACCAGAGTGTGAAGC